AGATCTGACCAACTGACATTGTTCTTTGTTATATCTGAATGTACAGGCAAAGGCTGAATGTTGCAGTTTCTGATTTCTGACTAAGTGACATTGTTATTTTTTATATCTGAATGGACAGGTACAGGCTGAATGTTGCAATTTCTGATGGGCCTTCAACTGTTAATGCAACCATGTTAAATCATGACATGCACCGGCTACTGCTATTGGTGTCTGCTATGATGCCCACTGATAAGTACTATTTTTATATTTAATTAAATTAGTTTTTATAATAAATTCATTTTATTTATTTAACATTATATTTATTTTTGAACTTTATTTTATATGTTGGACTTATATGTTAATTATTTAATAATTAAGCTTAATGGTTATGATTAAACATTCTTTGGGTTATTAAGATTGTATAAGTCATTAAGAGGTGGACTTAGTTATTGTTTTGTTGAGTGAGCCCACATGAAATGTTTTAATTATTTAATAAAGCTTAAGTTTCATTTAAAGTTTCCTTTCTTTTACTTTTGATGTTATGGGCTCTGACCCTCTGTACGTAGCTAGGCAGTAGGCTTTAGAGAGTTGCGAGACTTCTTCAAAGTCATCCGTGAATTGCAGGCGACGACATCGGCAACCTCGAACGGCTTCTACGAATGGAACTCGAACGGCGACTTCTTTGGCAAACCACGAGCTGCAGACGGCTTCATTGAGCTACATCCACGAACTAGTTAATTGAATTAGAGGTTGGAGCAACAATAGCCTACTTTGCTAATTTTCTATGGTTAGGAAATTAAATATTATTTATTTTCTAAGATTTATGTGGTTGAAGAAATTGATTTTAATTTGTGGTTGTTAGGAAAATTAGGGCTATTTTGAGCTGATTAGGGAGCCTGAACTAGTATAAATAGGGATGAGCAGTATAAGATAGTCAGTTTTTCAGAATAATTTTATTTTACTGTAAACGCTTTTGCAATGTACTGCTGAGTTCGAATTTTCCAATTCAAGGATTATTTAAGTTTGATTCTACAAGACCAGTGAGATTTATTTAGCTTAATTTTATTCTTTGTACTTTATTATTTATATATCTCCTGAATTTTAGTTATTGCTTGATTAATTGTTGCAACGGGCCCATTGTTCAATTGTCAAGTCATTAAGTTGCTAATTAGAACCTTGAATCCGTAATTGTTTAAGTGTTCTAAAATTGGTAGCAAATAGCACAATTTGATTGTATATAGATTTTCAATTTCGTGTTATGAAGATGTATAGTCTAGTTTAAATGAACCATGTTTTTGGGTTTGTTGGCTAGAATTGGTATTCTTTCTAATTCTTTTAATGATGTTAGTAAATTAAATCCTAAGAGCCTGTTTAGGATTGTTTATTAGCTAGGGAAGTAATCAAAGAGCTTGTTTTGATTATCGACAAAGTAAGGAAAGATAGGTTATTAGAGCATGTTAATAACCATAACCAATTTGGTAAAGAGTAAAGTAATTTAGTCTTGAGAATCAATGATCTGTCTTGTTTGAATTAAATTGATATTATTCCTTGAGTTGGATACTAGCTGATATTGATTATTAAATATTTCGTATTGTTTGCCTTTTTATTGTTGCTATTTAATTTCCAATTCTCATCTCATTCTTTATTAAATCTTTGATTAAAAATAAGTCTAACCAATTTCTGAGGGTACGACCTTACTCATCACTATTTCAATTCCTAAGAGTAAGTAATTTATTATTTGTTGGATTCGACACCCATCACCCACTAATGCAAGCGAAATTGCTACCTTGCATCAAAAATTGGATTCTCTTGAATTTGTCTTGGGTTTAAGGAGGAATTTAGGTACCACTGACCAAACATCCAGCGTGTCTTATGCAGTTGCATGCATCTGCCCTGCTGTAGCGGCTGCCTCGCAAACCACTGCAGTTGCTGCAGAAAAGCATCACGAACCTGCTACTCTTTTAAGTCCACAACCATTGCTGCTTGGGAATCCTATGAAGAGGAAGCTCGGCGTTGACCTTAGTTGTGATCCTGAAGGGCAATCTGATGAGAAAGATTGTGGGCTGGCTGACAAAGGCAAAAAATCGAGGATTTGATATCTTACTGAATTCTTGTCTGTCCAGCCTGAGCTGCTGAGTTAAAAGTCCATTCAGCTGTTGTTATGTTTGGGGTGGTTCTTTGCATGTTTTGTCCTGTGCTTTTTTTCCTGTTTGACTTGTGCAGTTGTGTGTTTCTGGTTGCAGTAATTCAAGAGAAGATTTTTTGCGATCAACAAATCTTCTCTTATAATTATTGGCCAAGTTGTTTGCATCAAATGTGTTGTTACTGCTGTGGTTGTTTTGTGAACTTTTATTTGAACATATGAAATCAGTTATGCGTCGTAAAATCTTAAACTATCCCTTTACATGTTTTGTTCTTATATAATTACATGCTTTAGCTTCTGTTGGATGCAAGTTAAGTTAGATTTGGTTGAAGTAATACTCACCATGCGTTTTCGCTTATAGGTTTATCTTGTTATTTTATTTTATTTTATTTTATTTTTATTTTTATTAGATGATTAAATAATATGTCAATTAAGAATTTTTCAGTCTTTTGTATTATTCGTATGTAGAGGCAGAAACAGTTCAGGACCTTAAAATTTCATTCAATAAATCTATTTAACAAAAATTGTTGCCCCAAAACAGTGTTCCATTCCATCAGCCATTATGTAACACCCCGTGTTACGGTCCCCTAATCTAAATTAATTATGGGATTAATTCTATTAATATATAATTAAAAAGGATTTAATTGGGATATAATTCTCTTAATTAATTAATATGATCCACAATGGAGCATGGACCCTTATCCCTAGCACAACCTTTAATCCCGTTGGGAATAGGGAAAGTGGGCCTTTACTATTCAGATTCTAGTTAGGATTCCTGAATCTATATATATATATATATATATATATATATATATATATATATATATATATATATATGGGATTAAGAAACCCTACCATGAATAGCTTTGCCACCCGAAATATTCTCTCGGGTAATCTAGCAAAAGAATTCCCTCTACCGAGCCTAGGGAGAATCAATTGGAAGGAAATCTTAGAGAAGGACCTTAGTAGCCAAGGGAATTTGATTAAGGGCTAAGAAGTAACTCATGTCTTACAAAACCTATTTTCCTTGCTATTGTTTATTGATTGGCTCCGATTGAATGATTGATTGTGTGATTTTGTATGTGTATCTTGTTAGAGCTTGTCTTTAGGTTTATATGATGAATTATTGCTATTTTTGATATTCTTCATGGCCCTGTGTTATAATAATATTATTATTATATAGTTGTTAAACCAAGGCTTAATTAGGTTGTTAATTAAATCAAGTAGTGTGTGGCATGTAGTTGCTTAGTACATGGAGTAGTGCTTACATGCATTTCCTAGTTTTTAGCATTATTCCTATTTACGTTTACTATAAGGAAAATACTTGGTGTACTCCCATTTTAAACTCCTAACTTATACTCCCTCTCACATGCTCTTGATGTAGACATTTTTCTGTGGACCCACATGATGAAAATAACCAATCCTGATTTGCCACCTCAGGGAGTTTAATGAGGGAGTAGAATTTTAGGAGTCTATGTAGTAGAACTCTTACTATAAATAGGCTATGTATTCAATCATTTTAATCATCAATTGTATTGCAAGTATTCCTCTCTCTCTCACTTTCTCTCAATATATATAAATATAATATATAAATATATTATATTTAATATATCTTATAGATATATTATATATATATATATATATATATATATATATATATATATGTATGTATGTATGTATATATACATACATACATATATATATATATATATATATATATATATATATATATATATATATATATATATAATAAATATATTATATTTAATATATCTTACATTTGGTATTAGAGCCAGTCAACTTTTCAACCCCGAGATATTTTCCGTAGTTAAATATGTCTGCAAATTTCAATATTGTATGGTTGGGTCCCAAATTGGACGGGAAACTCGATTATAATTATTGGCAAATTATGATGTCTACACATTTGAAAGCTCAAAATCTTTGGAGCTTTATTGATCCCGGTCTACCCGAAGGAGCTGATGCAGCCCAAACACGGCGAGATCAGTTGGCCTTGGGACAGATTCACCAAGGTGTTAATTATTCTATTTTTGGGCAATTAGCACGTGCTCATTAAACTCCCTAAGGGCAGCCCTATCCAGATTTGGTTTCTCAGCCACATTTATAAATTTGGTCTTGAATAATCTAGAAGCCACGAGATTATCTGTCCTGGTAAATGGGGTTAGCTGTGGATTTTTCCAACCGACTAGAGGTGTAAAGTAAGGAGATCAGTTGTCCCCGCTTCTTTTCATCCTTGGCTCCGAAATTTTATCCCGTTCTCTTATTCTTAAGATGGGCACGGGATTGCTATCTCCCTACATCATGGGTCTGAACTGCCCGGTGGTCTCTCACTTAGCATTTGCCGACGATATCATCATCCTTGTAAATGGGTCCTCGCGGTCGTTAAAGGCTTTACTGGAAGTATTGGAGCTTTATCAGGCAGGGTCTGGCCATAAGATCAACTACTCCAAAATTTTTTTTGTTACCTCTCGACATTGCAGTAGCCAAAGGACCGCAACAATATCGCACATTTTGGGAATGCAGCGCTCAAGCCTTCCGTTTCGTTACATGGGAGTGAGTTTATTCAAAGGACGCAACAGACCTTGCTACTATCAGCATCTACTGGAATTAGTGAAGGGGAGGCTTGCAGGTTGGCAGCGCCATATGCTCTCCCCAGGGGGCAGGCTAACATTGATTAAGCATGTTCTGTCTGCGATCCATTTGTTTACTATGGCTTCTATGTTACTGCCTCGCCAAATCGAGAAAGCGCTGGAGTCTAAATTTGCTTGCTTTTTTTTGGGGAAAAATAGAGGGACGGCCAAAGAGACACTGGTCTTCATGGGAGAAAATTTGTTTTCCCACAACTGAGGATGGACTGGGGATGCGAAGCTTGTCGACAATACAGCGATCCTACTCGGCCAAACTTTCTTTTAGCTTTCTGCAGGGTGGCTCGCTATGGAGCGACTACATGCATGCTCGTTATTCAGATGCGGATGCTAGGCCCTCGGACTCTCTCGCTCGCAGACGCATGAGGGGGATGGAAGACTTTGTTGAAGAAAACACCATACGATCTTCTGGTTCGCTAATCTGGACCCCCTCTTCATACGGTAATTTCACTTTTTCAACATCTTACGATGCTTTACGTGAGAGGAAGGGAGTCTGTTTGTCGTCCTCAAGCATCTGGGGGAGACAGATTCCGTTTAAGGTCTCAGTCTTTATGTGGAAGCTGCTGAAGAGATTTCTACCATTTCTGGATGTTGTTGAGCGCTTTGGATTCTGCTTGCCGTCCATGTGTCCATTCTACACCGCTGCTAGTGCAAGCCTCGAACACTGCCTTGTCAGTTGCACGGCAGTTCAAGAGGTCTGGATTCACTTCGGCAGGCTCTCGGGGTTGTTTGGCAATCTCGACTCGGTTCGCGCGACTTGCCATTCGTGGTGGCTTTTGGCTTCCCCAGGTTCTGCGGTGGGAAGCATTACGTGCTTCCTGCCATGCTTAATCCTCTGGTTCTTATGGGTTGAGTATAACAATTGCATTTATAATGGTTCTGCATTCTCCCCTGAAGGTGTTATCAAAAGGGTTAAACGGGAATCCTATTTTGTTTCCCTTGCTTTCCCTCGCTATGCGAGCATACTGGGAGTTGTCCTACTCTCGGATGGTTTGGTAGCCAGGTTTGCAGTGCAACGACGAAGAAACACGATCTGGGTAAAGTGGCTAGCTCCTCCAACGAGTAGACTAAAGCTTAACACCGACGTTATTTTCACGACAGCTGGAGCTGCAGGTGGAGCTTGCCTTCGGGACTCGCGTGGTTTATTATTTGCCGGTCTTACTTTTAGCTTGGAAGCCACTTCGGCCCTGGAGGCAGAAGCAATGGCTTTGTGCAGGTCACTACAGTGGTGTGATACAATGGTCTTGCGCCCTTTCATCATTGAGGTGGACTCTCTTGAGCTGGTGCGTTTATCTTCCGTTACAGAAGCACGAATCCCATGGAGGATTAAAGAGACAGTCTCAAACATTCGCTCTTACCTCTTTGCCGGGGGATCTTCATTAAATCATGTTTATAGGGAAGCGAATCAGGTAGCCGACGCCCTTGCGGCGGAGGGACTAGCTGTAGGCTCGCCCGCAATTTTTAGTTCCTTTACAGCTTTGCCTTTCAAAGCTAAATTGGCTCTTTTGTATGACTTTAGGGGGTTTGCTACCCTTCGGGCTATTAGCCTTTAATAAATTCCATTTGATTAAAAAAAAAAAAGCAAGCTTGGGACATCTTAAAGGTGTCTAACAAAGGAGCCGATCGGGCACAGAAGTCTAAGTTGCCGTCGTTAAGAAGGTTGTACGACAATTGTGAGATGACCTCTACAGAAATAGTAGATACGTATTTCACTCGTCTTATTGATATGGTGAATAAGATGAGGTTATACTGAGATACAATTGAAGATGGTGCAGTGGTTGAAAAATTTCTTCAAACTATGCCGATGAAGTATGACCATGTGGTTGCTTGGATCACAGAGTCACACAAACCTAAGCTCTTATCAATTGCAGAGCTGAAAAGTATGGTAGAAGTCATATTGAAAGAATTGCATCAAAATCGGAACCACTAGCAGAAGAAGCTTTGAAGAGTCAAGTCACCCTTAATGTGACTGGCACTAATCAAAGAGGTGGAAGATCTGGTAGAGGTCGTGGAAGAGGAAGAGGAGGTTCTAGTGGAAGAGGTCGTGGTATCTTCAACCAAGGAGGAGGACGTGGTAACTCCAACCAAGGAAGAGATGGAGGTAATACCAAACAAGGTAAATTTCCATTTCATTGCTACAATTGTGGCAAGTATGGGCACAAGATTGTAGATTGTTGGTATAATGAGGACAACAATTGTGGAAATCAAGCAAACATTACTGAAAATACTGCTGAAAAGTCTGGTGAGAATTCTGAAACCTTACTTTTGGCCAGTGATAGTTTTTCTGCAGATAAGAACATATGGTTCTTGGATATTGGGTGTAGTAACCATATGTGTGGGAAGAAAGAATTGTTTTCTGAACTGGATGAATCAGTTCAGTCTGAAGTGACATTTGGCAATAAGTCAAAGGTGCCAATTTTGGGAAAAGGTAAAATCTCTATTCAGTTGAAGGATGGTACTCACAATTTTATATCCGATGTGTTCTATGTTTCGGAATTACACAAAATTTGTTGAGTATGAAACAATTGTCAGTGTTGGTTTTAGGGTTTTTGGGCCCAGGGAGGTCAAACACAACCTTGGTTGGTGGATACACCTTTCAATAAAGCTATCCAAAATAGAAGGGAATGGATAATTTTAGTAAATGTGTCTATCTATTCTCTGGGCATGGACTCGCCTGTTTTACATCTTGGAGGGGCCTTTATATAGTAGGCCCTCCTTTAATCGAACTTAAATGTATTAAATTGAGCTTTGATTGCTAATTATGCCGGGGGGCCGTTGGGCTGTCGTTACTGGGCCTCCCAACGTCTCTTTGACCGGCTTCTTTAATGCTTCCTTAAATGCCCTTCAACGGCTCTTTGTCGCTATCGCCGAGTCCTCATCCCGACCTCGGAGTCAGCTCGACTCCTGGACTTGGTCTGATCTTCTTCCGAGCTTTATTACCTTCTGGGCTTCCGCCCATTTTCCCTTGGGCCGCATCTTATTCTTTTTGGGCTTCCCCATTCTTCTTGGGCCGGGGTCCTCTCCCCATCAACTAGTCCCTCACTTTCCAATATCCAGTCCTCCAACTTGGATATCGGAAAGTAGCAGCATTTACTCTCTTATTTCGTAGATCTCTCTCAATCTCATACCCTTAACAGCCGAGTAACGCCCGGATTCCACGTGATTTGCCTGATTCGCCGGGTCCGTTTAGATTCTTTCCTTCCTTCCTGAGATCCTATAAATGGCGCCCTGATCCGTTGAGTTTCTCCTCACCGCTTTTGATCAATCATGGGTCGCTCTCCCATAAAAGGGAAAAAGATTGACTTCGGGTCGCCGTCTCGCCCCTCCTATTCCAAGCAATCGAGACTGAAGAAAGAGGGCAAGAAGAAGGCTCCTCGTCCTTCTTTCTGAAGGCATCACTCTGGTGTTACCTCCTCTGTTTCTCGACCGCCGACTGAGGCTCCGCCCCTTGTGACAAACTCTCCATCCCTGGCCGACCCCCCATCTCAGACTAAGGCTCGAGCCATTGCCCAGGACGGGTCATTTGTTGAGGTGGCAGTTCCAGAGCAGCTTGCTTTTAAAATGGTATTCACTATTCCTCTTGACGACCTGGATGGGCCGGCGACCGACTTGATGACTGATGCCGACTTCTCTCGCTACCTGGAGCTGTACCCGGATGACGAGGCGCCCGTCGCCCCACCTCTTACGCCGGCCTTTTGGGACTCGTTTTGTCCATCTCCTAATGGCCCATCGGAGGAGATGTTTTTTCGAGATGAGCCTTCTTCTCCCGACAAGTGATTATGCCATCCAAGGCCTGTCAGTGGCAGGGCGTGGCGCTGAGTAAAGTCTAGTGGAGAGCTGTGAGAGGAACATTATATATATATATATATATATATATATATATATATATATATATATATATATATATATATATATAATAGATCCGGTGCACACCCCCTTGGCAGATGAGCTCGTGAGCACCTTTTCTGACCCTTAATTAGTTTAAATGAATGGTCCAGATGATTTGGGCTTTTTCGCAATGGCTTTAATTATAGAATGTATTTAATTTTGCCTGGGAATCTGCGTGAGTATTTCAACCCTTCGTTTTCTTCATCTTCAACCCTCACATCTCAGCCGCAGTTTCCTGTAATACCTTGCGCTTTCTCTCCTCCTTATCTTGCGTAGCAGGTCTCAAGAATATTTGGAAGCGAAGCAAGTAGCGAAGCAAGCAAGTAGCAGGTCTCAAGAATATTTGGATTCTCGCGTTTGCTGGACGATAAAATCAGTTCTTCTCCGTCGCTGCGTTCTCCGTCCGCGGCCGCAAGAAATCAGTTGGGAAGGCGTCTCCGGCGCCGGTCTGCTTGCGCCGTCCAATGGCTGGTTCTATAAGCACTCGTTCGAAGCGACAGAGAGCTGCTTCGTCTGGTTCCCATTCAGGTATTTCGAATTTCTGGTTTTTTAGCTTCGATTGCTTCAGTTTTTGCTGTTATTGTTGTTTTTTTGTTGGTTTTTTGCGTTTTCCGGCGTGTGCGTTTTTGCTTTGGGTGGAGGGGGGGGGGGGGGGGTGCGGCGGATTTTAACTGCTTCTAGGGTTTTTTTTGGGTTAGCCTAGTTTGGTGGGTGGGGTGGGGGGGGGGGGATGCTGCGAATTTTGCATGCTCTTAGGTAGAATTCTTGATGAATCGAGTCTGTGCATGTGTGGTTTGCGATAAGTGAATTGATGAAACATATATAAGATTTAAGGCTTTACTATGATCATTGTTCACTATTTGTTTTGGTCATATGCTGTCCAAGATGTGGCTCTTCTCCAATTCTTGCCTTGGAACAGGACAAATTAAATATTGTGGGTTGTTATCATTTCTGTAGATCCATATATGTGTGTGCATTTTAAAGGCAAAAAGGAATATAAAAAGCAAGCCGTAGAATTATTCTTTGTTGTTTTGGTCTTTTCTTTCTCCTGCTTGTTTGATCAAAAAGCTACATTAATGATTTGTCACTCGTTTATTTATGAGATTGTACATGATATGTCAGGAAAGGACATTAACTTAAATTTGCCGATTCATTTGCAAATAAATGCTTTGTGTATGGCTTTCTATGCACTTTCTAAAGAAGCTAGGCAGACTCATTATGTTCACAAGCTTGCTTTGGTAAAATATAGTGCCTTCTTCTATTAAGATGCTCTGCATTTCTCTCTCTCTCTCTCTCTCTCTCTCTCTCTCTCTCTCTCTCTTAACCTTTAATGAATATTCGACAATCATACTTATCTTAGGAGGAGCTTTTTTTAGTCACACATCTTGGTTCTAAATTCTGCAAGTACAAGTAGTGTTTAAGTGGTATGAGTACATATTTGTATGCAATAAAACCCGTCTTCTATTCTACTCATATTTATATGTAATAAAATGCATCTTCTGTATTACTATTGTATTGTCATCTTCAACTTACTCTGCAGATAAAGTCACTTTAGTTTATATTTTTATCTTTCACATTTCCCTCAGTACATGTAAATATATAATGACGTCTACTGTGTGTTCTTTTCTGTTGCTAATTTCACTCAACAACTTTGCTCTCACCTGCATTCCAAACAAGATTTCCACAGCCTTAAAGTTGGTCCTTTCAAGCATTGCAATGATGAGTAATGTAGTTGAAAGTGTTAGGTTATGAACTCTGTAAAAATCAATATCAGATTAAGAAAATTCTCAACCATGGATCTATATGATTTATTCATCAGCTTTGGTGGTTTTGGCATAGTACTGTAATGGTGGTTTTGGCCTTCGATGGTATTTTAATAAATTTGGGTTTTCATTTGTTTAGGAATTGTTTTTACTTAGACTGAGTAAGTGTTTTTACCTATTTCTTAATTCCATTTCTTTCGGGGATGCAACTTATTTGATCGTTTTGATTTTTGACAATGGTGTGTGCGTAGTTGTCCGAACTTTGATGCGCATCAAAGCCATCAATTGCACCATACTGATGTGTGCGTATTTGAACGTCAGTTTGTGCATAGTACTGTAATGGTAATTTTTGCCTTCGATGGTATTTTAATGAATTTGGGTTTTCGTTTGTTTAGGAATTTTCTTTACTTAGATTGAGTAAGTGTTTTTACCTATTTCTTAAACAAATGCAAAACCAATTACATTCTAACATCATCATCATGCAATATACACCGGTCCAATCTATGCACGGACATTCATACGTATGCGCACCCACCACCAGAAACACACATTTACAAACATATCATAATCAATATAAGCACATGCCCCCTAACACACTTATTCTCTACTATAAAATCTCATAGATGACTACACTAACATGGATTACATTTTCCATTATAGCGTCTGCAAAAGTGATGGGTTGCAACAAACAACTACGAAAAAACATCAATAAAAAAACCCAGTTATTTGTGCATTCGCTATACTTCACCACGCACCATGTACACGCTTTTGAACGTCTACACACAATCCACATCTTAAATTATAGTGATCCTTTTTGTTGTTACAAACAACAAAATCCAACAGACGAATTCATACTGGCTCCTAAGACTATTTTTAATTAACACTTTCTTTATTTTCAAAAA